TTATATCATTAATCATGCAGCCATTATCTGATATTTGTATTGTAAAAAAGCTTCAACCTTTCATATCTGTTACGAAACTTTTCGGTTTGGATATTTTTGAAATATGTAAATGCAGAAAAAACACAAATACTACAAATGAAAAACTTTTTAACTTTTATACAAATGTAATCGAAATCTTTTTGTGGTTAGCAGCTTTACAGTATACAGGAATGTTAGTTTTTCCCGAAATTGTTTGTAATCATATTTTTATAGTATTTAAAAATAATTCATTTTATATCAAATTTATTGTCTCTATTAATGCGTTGTATGGAGCTACACAGTTCAGCATTTTGAAGAGAAGAAAACTCAATATTCATCACTTAATGACAGGATTTAAAGAAGAATCAGAATTTATAGATACACTACATCTGTATCTATTTCGTTATTGCTTACTTTGTATTTCCATACTCGTTGCAACATCCTTAATGATTATTGTCGCTAGTTATTTCGTCTTTAGTAATTACAGACAATATGATTTAGTTTGCATTGTTACTATGCAGATATGGGTCATTTATCTGCTGTCACTTATATTTTGTTGCTGTTTCATGTTGGCATATATTTTCTTTATTATTAGCAGAAGTTTGATTAAAATCTCTCAACAGTTACAACTGAAAAATGTCGCAACGAAATCTTTTGTTCAAGAAATGATGACGAAACTCTTTAAAATTTGGGAAATTTTCGATGAAATAAATGAAAAATAGAAGATGCTGTTTCCGTCTATTTACCTATATTTTACATTCGAAAGCTGTTTTCTTACGTACATTGGTGTTTTTGTACAGATCGATAAAGCTTATCGAGTGTTCTTTTTATGCTTCGGTGCACTATTATTGTTTCTATCGTTATCAGTTGCGTGGGCATTTTCGAATTTCACTTCAATAGTAATTACCACTTTATATTTGTAAAAATACAGTATTTTTGTTTATTTGATTATCTACTGTTAAATTTACAATAAACAATTATTGTTTTTCAGATATACGATAATTTCATCTCTATCGGAAAATTTTATTCTTCTCTAAACTCCGTAACATACATATACAAAGTATCTTACTTTTTCATTTTAAAATTCTTTAAAAATTTATTAAAGATGAATAAAAACACTAACAGAGATTATGCAAAAGATGTTTACACTTGTCTTTCGTCAGTCAAAAAAAAATTCTGAAAATCACTAGAGATCCACATTTAATTTTAAACTTCGACTTAAGTAAGACGATATAATTACTGATAAATGCATATAAATGCTTCACTGAAATGCATAGCCTCAAGTAAAAGATAAGAATCTCAGTGTGTTTTCAATTAGTTTAGGTGCGAAAAAGGGCATTTGAGACGACGTTGCATAATCAGCATTTTTGTTTTTGATGTGATTTTCTTTAGTTTTACGAAGTACTTGAAATATTTGTTTTTCAATTGTATCATTTCAGATAATTTGCTTCATGAAGAGATTCGGAGGAAGACCTTTTGGTATATCCATGGCAGGATTTTTCTATGTAAAGAAAAACTTTTGGATAAGGGTAAATATTTTGAATAAATATAACTTATCATTGTAGTTTATTTAACTATACACTTATTGAACTCGAATTGTTTATAGCTTTCTGCAGATTATAGTTTTCTAGCTAATTTTTTTTATTTTAAAGTACAGTATATCATTATATAATTATCATTATTTAAGCATATTTCGAATAGGAAGATTTGGAGTTTATATACGGAAATTAGCATGTTAGATAGATTGTCACATAAATGCATGAAATTCGAAAATATGCACTCTAAACTGAACTGTTTGGTTACACTTTATTGTGGATAATAAAGATTTGAAGATTTGAATTTTTCCATAGATTTCCATCTCGCATACGAATTTTACATACATCAAATTGTATACACGAAAATGCTCAAGTAATCGATATGTCTATTTAACTCTTCTACTGCACAGTAGTGCTTCTACTTTTTAATTCATTGTTCTGAAATTTCGTGTATGCTTATAAACAAGTTTGATTTGTGGAAAAACAGTCATTTTACTTCGTACTACACTACGAATAATGTGTACTATTTATACATAAACAATTAATATATAGTTTCACTTGTCTTTTTACTGATCGAAATTTTTTTGCTAAGCATTCCAGCTTAATTAATGTTTTCTAATGGCCTCGTGCTATTATGCAACGATCTGCTCATATAGTACAGAGTAATGCATAATCGCGCACATCAAAGTATATTTATGTGTATATTTCGAACAGCTGTTTCTTGTTTCTCTTGCTACAACATGGCGTTATAGCGAATACAGACTGTAAATAGACAGTAGTTACTATAGTGTAAAATTGATTTTGCGTAAATGTTTTAGAATTAGCTGCATTGCTGCTTAGTTCATTTAGGAACTGAAAAAAAAAACAAATCATTTTCATTGTCGAGTATTATTTGGCGTGTATATCATTTGTTATAGAAGAGTTCCATTAGTAATAACTGGAATTTTTTTGGCGACTGCCTTTTTTGAAGAAATTTGTTTACACTAGTTCTAGATTTGTCACTACTAATATACTAAACTACTAGATTTCTATTACCATCAAAATGTAGCCGTGTATAAAAAGTAATCCACAAACATAAATTGAACTAAAGAAGAATGTTATAAAGTTGGTTGCAAGCCTCAATTTTAGAAGGCTTCACATAGAGAAATCAATTCCGATAGTAAGTGCAAGCACATGCACTCGTCAATGAAAACGTTATTTCAAACGTATGGTTAAATAACACGATTTGACTTTACTTTATTAAATATCAGATTATTTGACATTTTAATATTTTTTAGTAGCGTACAATAAAGGAAATAATGAATTTTAGTACAAATGTACATAAGTATTTCATCACGTCGTATTTTCAGTTAAGTTGCCATAAATGCCGCGTGTAGGACCACCTGATTAGTTCGTCATTGCTGTTGGCGAACTTTTTGTTATTACTTTTCAATAAACAACAATTATTTTTTAAATTGAAATATATTTAATTCGACAAGCGAAAATTATAATTACGTAATATTTTTAAATGTCGATTCAATTTTACCTTAATGTAATTGTTATATTTTCACAACATTAATTGTTTTTAGATGCTGCATTGCCTTTATTCCATTTTATCTTCTCTAATCGAAATAACGGGAGTAATGCAAAAAAACAGGTGCTCTACAAAAATCGGTGTAAATGCTGCAGTTAAAAACGAAAGTGTTGTAGATACAGCATAACCTCGTTAATTTGAATTTCTGAAAATTGCTTTTTGGTGAAGTTTTTACACGCCATTTTCTTTTTATACTATAGACAAATTAATTTTTGTAATGATTGAGAAAGAATGAAACATATTCTTCACTGTTCGTATATACTGAGTGATTTCGCATTCATGTAGGGTTAATATTCGTATTGTTTTGTACCGAATATGTCATGTAAGTATAATGTAAATCATAAAAAAGTAGCTTAAATGTGTACTTTTAAATTTCGTTCAAATACCCAACTAATTTTTGTTTATTCGGTTTTTTGTGAGACCGAGTACTTACCTATTCTCTGTAAGAAAAGGTTTCGGTGTATAAGTGTGTACAGGATTGTTAAATAAAAAGGAAAAAATCTTATATACGCAAATAGTGTTGACATGTAAAATTCGACGTAAGAGTTTATTATTTTTTATTTCAATTTAATGTAGTTTGTATATTGTTTATTGTTATATCAGCGATTGTGTTATATCTAGTACGCTGGTTACCTATTCTACATGCAGTAATGTTAATAAATATTTTTGGTAAAAATGTAAGAAAATAATTAAAGTATGTAAAAGTTTATTTGACAAATTTTATTGTTTTTATATTTATAAAAATGCATTAGTAGTAAAGTAACTTCAAACAGCGAAAGGCAAGAGTTTACAAACATTTTTGTATATTAACTATTGAGAAAGTAGCTGTGAACTACGAGCGGCGTGTTGATAAAGCCATTGTAAGTATAGATTTTACATTTTCCACATTTAAAAACAAATTTTATACAAAATATTAAAAGATATTTATTTTTGTCGTGTCAAATTACTAGGAACAAGAATCTCTTAGAAGACAGGTTTTTATTAAAGACTAGCTGTTACTCGCGACATTGCCCGCGCAGATTTTGCAAGCAAACCCCATTTAATATTCATTATTTCAACATCCATAGTAATTGTTATATAACACCTACCGCTGAAAAAGATGAGAATTGCCGAGAATAAAACAAACAATTTTCAATTCGATAAATTTTCTGGAACGTTTACAATCGTTCTATAATCGAACAATGCAATGCAATAACAAATTCTAATTTAAAATGGTTCGAATTTTTAAAATCGAAATAGATAAAAATATTTATAACAATGTCTGAAATACCTAAGTATCGATGAAGACTGAATGTAAAAACAGTTTTAAAAGACAATGTTCCTTAATTTCTCCTTCCAGGAGAGATAGGCGTTTATCGTACTCCTTACGTAAATTAGACAGCCGGTGAAATTTCGATGTCAATTCCTCTAGTTTCGATAGAATATTATAAAAACGTTCCTCGAGAAGACACAGAATCTTCTGAGATAGTTGAGAAGAAAATATCCTGCCATGCAAAATAGTCCTCTAGTCGAGATGATTTCAATGTTGGTTCGCTGAAAGATTGACGACGTTTACCAGCGGAAGTAAAAGCTTTATTGAGGGGTGAAGAAGGTGGTGTACAAGACATTTGACCCGGGTTAACTTCGACTCTTCCAATAACAAGCAAAAATAACTGAATTAAAGGGATAATAAAGATTTGAAGATTTGAATTTTTCCATAGATTTCCATCTCGCATACGAATTTTACATACATCAAATTGTATACACGAAAATGCTCAAGTAATCGATATGTCTATTTAACTCTTCTACTGCACAGTAGTGCTTCTACTTTTTTATTTATTGTTCTGAAGCGTGATCGATAAAGAGCATACCTTCTGGGTAGNGAATTTATTTATAGTAAATGATATTTTAGAATTGTTAGTAAAATTTACAAACGAACAAATTAAAAAAGTACAACCAAATTACGGAAGAGAAAGAGACGCACATCTAACCGACTTAGTTGAAATAAAAGCTCTTATCGGCATTTTATACTTAGCAGGTTGCAAAAAACAAAATCGCTGCAATCCAAATGAATTGTGGACAATGGATGGAACCGGCCTAGAAATTGTTAGAATCGTAATGAGTGAAAAAAGATTTAAGTTTTTACTGTGCAATTTACGATTCGACGATAAAAATTTAAGAAAAGAGCGAATTAAAACTGACAAGTTGGCTGCAGTGAGGGATATGGTGGACATATTTGTAAAATCTTGCCAGAAAAATTATTCTATATCGGAATATTGTACTATAGACGAGAAATTAGAAGGATTTAGGGGACGATGCGGATTTCGACAATATATGCCCAAGAAACCTCAGAGATATGGCATTAAAATTTATGTGTTAGCGGACGCAAGAATGTATTACACTTATAATTTCGAAATCTACTGCGGAAAACAGCCAGAGGGCCCATATTCGATTTCGAATTCACCAGATCAAGTCGTAAAACGATTAATAAATCCTATAACGAAATCAGGGAGGAATTTGACAGTGGATAATTGGTTTACCAGTTATAGCTTATTCTCAGATTTGTTACGGGACCGAATTACAATGGTAGAAACAATAAGAAAAAACAAACGAGAACTCCCTCTTCAATTTACAGATGTAAGAGGTAGAAAAGTCTGAAGTAGCTCATTTGGATTTTCCAATGATTTAACCTTAGTCTATTATGTGCCAAAAAAACAAGAATATCTTGCTTTTGTCCTCTTTTCATCATAACGACAGTATCGATGATACTACAAGTGATCGTAAAAAACCGGAAATAGTTACATTTTACAATTTGACAAAAGGAGGAGTCGATACGTTAGACCAATTAACTGCAAATTACAGCGTTCAAAAAAACTCAAGAAGGTGGACAATTGTAATTTTTTATTGTCTTTTAAATATTGCGGGTGTTAATGCACACATTATACACCACAGTAATAAGAACACAACAAAAGATATAAGCAGGAAAGATTTCTTAAAACAGCAATGGAACTAATGTTGGAACAAATTGAAAAAAGAAAACATATGCACTGCCTTCGAAAAGATATAAGAGAAAGCGCCGAAAAGATATGTCCATCACCCAGCACATCTAAAACTTCTGTAGAAGAACAGAAAAAGAGAGGAAGATGTGCAGAATGTGGAAGAATAAAAATCGATATACAAAGTATATATGTGAAAAATGTGAAAAATTTTTATGTTTGTCACATGTAACGCCTAAGTTATGTGCAAAAACTGCAGTAAAGAACAGTGAATTTCTGTTTAGTTTTTTAAATGCAGTTCCTATGTTAAAAATATTCCTAATGATTGTACAGTACTTTTCATGTTATGTGTGAGATAGCCAGGGGACGTAAACAAATTTACGCCACTTACGGGCACGCGATCATGAGATCGGTTCTCTTACTTTTTATAGGAGAGCGATAATCGCTATTAGATCTGAACTCTGAAGTCCAGATGCTCGTCAGGGCTGACATCAGTTTGTGAATTAAATTCCGCGGACAAACACGCGTGAGAGATCTGATTCAGACACAAATTAAGAGTCATTTCATTTGATAAACAAACAATAGTAAATTTAATAAAACATAAGAAAATATAAACTAATACAAAATGTAAAATGAAAGAATGATATAAATCGAGAGAGACTTTATAACCCTATTATAACCGACACAAGATCGAGAGAGAGATTACAATATCGGTATAAAACATACAACCTGGTTTAGTTGTCGTTCGTCTTCTTCTCTGTAGGCAAGGGCTTGTTTAGAGTTAAAGTTTATTTACTTCTTTCCATGGGAGATCGATATGTGCACAAAATCAAAGTATAACTTCTTAGTGCTAACTCTGGGATTATTCTATGTGACTTGTCTAAAGGCGTTGGTCATCAGGAGGCAAACATGTGGAGTCCGGACACTTCCAGGTCTGTCGATGAACTCCCCGAATTCAGACAAATTTCCTCTATATGTCACGATCGGCGACCAATCATCATGCAAACATTCCTCCGTGAGAACGGATGGAAAGGGGGATATGTGAGGGGTAAACATTTCCCATCATAGCGAGAGTTTTCGCAGATAAGGGAAAAACAGAGGATATACTAACTTCTGTGAAAGGAAGTAACATCTGTTATCTATTTTTCCCACTCTAAAACGTCATTTTTCTCACCCAAACGAAAGAATACTTTATAACAAAATATTAACATTATTAATAAAATCACTNACCGAAAGATCTTAATAATTATTTTTGTAATTTATATAAAAATTCGAAAACATTCATTTGCAAAAAACAGTCATCGTTATGCCTATTCGAATAATTTCTTAAAGCATACAATATGCAATTGTTTTAACGTTTGTCTATATATATTCGAATACAAATTAATTTTTATTTTATTTCATTTAATAAAGAAAAGTTAAACCGTGTCTTCTCCTTCTTGTTTCTTCTAATTCTATGTCACGTCTTAGTGCATTTGGTAAAAGTGGATGATGAACTTAATTGCCAAGTGTCGATAAATGCACCAAGTCGTGACATAGAATTAGAAGAAAAGAAAAGTCACTTTTTACACTTTAGACTGAAAATACCAATTAAACAGATGGCACTTAATTTACATAGAACACAAAGTACAGCAAGTGAAATATTTTACCTATGAAAATTTATAACTTCAAAAAATAAATCTATTAATAAACGACACTAAATTAAAATTGTACTTTGCCTAAATTATCAAAATATTTTATTTAAAATACAATACTCCAGAGAGTTTTTAGAATTAAAGTGTATGTCTGAAATCACAAATGATATGGAACCATTTATATATTATGTCTGTTCTTACGCATACATACTTATGTTTAATTTATAAATTATAGTAGTAATTCAAACACAAATTATTATTGTATTTATTTTCAGGCACTTGGCAATTTTTATCATCAAATTAACTAAATAAAATTTAGTTGATTCGAAGATATTGTCCACGCGAGAAATAACAGCGACAAAAATTTTTGTCGCTGTTATTTCTCGCGTGGACAATATCTTCGAATCAACTAAATTTTATTTAGTTAATTTGATGATAAAAATTGCCAAGTGCCTGAAAATAAATACAATAATAATTTGTGTTTGAATTACTACTATAATTTATAAATTAAACATAAGTATGTATGCGTAAGAACAGACATAATATATAAATGGTTCCATATCATTTGTGATTTCAGACATACACTTTAATTCTAAAAACTCTCTGGAGTATTGTATTTTAAATAAAATATTTTGATAATTTAGGCAAAGTACAATTTTAATTTAGTGTCGTTTATTAATAGATTTATTTTTTGAAGTTATAAATTTTCATAGGTAAAATATTTCACTTGCTGTACTTTGTGTTCTATGTAAATTAAGTGCCATCTGTTNATCACTTTACGAACTGGTATATACGTAATTGCATCAGTTTTAGTACCTATTTAATTAATTTCAATCATGACAGCAAAAGATAAGGATGCTTGTTTCTTTAAACTAGTTGATTAAAACGTTACATAAAATTGGGGTTGCATAATCATCCAAAATTATTATTATATTTTTGACTGGAAATTACAGGATTTATGGAATTTTAGTTTAATTAATGTCATATAAATCTGACTGCTCATAGAAGTTTGCTGAAAACATGCAACTCAAAAAACCTCAAAATGGCAGCTCAAGAAGTAGATCACGCGTGTCCTGACCTTCTTATATAGACCTTGGAACACTCGGAAGCGCAGCCATTTTGGAACCACACGTAACATTAACCCTTATTTCTTTTACTACGATTACTAAAATTGAAGTTCATAATTTAAGAATTAAATTATAGTGGTAGAAAATAATATAAAAGTATTTATATTATTTATACTCGTACAATTTCAAAACTATTTTCTGTAATAATTTGATTCTGACATAACGGATATTTTGATATTATTGACGACAAAAGTTTAAAATCGTTGATTTCCTTACCTGTCCATTATTTTTGTTTGACGGAGTTGAATTGTTTGGACCACGTGGCATGAAAAATTTTGTCAAGGTCTTGATGAGAATGTGCAGACAACGGAAGGTGTGAAAGAAGACCACTTACACGTGCAACTGTCTATGTTGTGATTAGATAATTTAAATTAGCAAGCAGTGATACTAGTGAGACTTTATTAAACTCATTTTTTTTCATTTTTTCGTTAAAGGCGTGAAATATTATTTTGTACCGTAAATGGTACTTGAAATATTATAATGTACTGAAAATGTACTAAAAATCTAAATGTACTTTCAATTTACTGGAAAGGGCAAAATGTACCAGAAAAGTACAAATGCACTAGGAACAGTAACACTGCTGGAATATCCTGCGTAGTCTATTGTTGTTCTGGCGCATAAGAGATAAATTCGAATTCCACCATGGAGTTACCCGTTTTTTGTTCTTCCTCCTGGGAATTCCATTCCCAGGATGCATCCCAGGAGAATTCTCCACGCATGCGGAAGAGATTTTGAAAATAGCTGACTCAGTATAGGTCTTAGCTTCAGTATGTGATACAATCCTAGAGGAAGGCATGCTGAATAGTGTCCTGAAATTTGCACCAATCAGCTGCCTTGGTATTAAAAGCATTCTTGTTCGAAGCTTCTGCATCCTGCAAATTATTGCAGCCTAGGCTATAGGTTATACACTCGTGATCAGAGAGGCAGTCAAAAATGCCTACCTGCCAATTCTGAATAACAGAGCAGAGACCTTTGGAACAGATGGTTAGATCAATCCAGGAATGACCATTAGATGACGAAAAGGTTGGTGGAAAGTCTGGGTCATTAACCACCAGAAGCCATGTGCAGCAATAAAGTTCTCCATGGCCTCACCCCTGCCATCTCTATACTCGCCCCCCAAGTAGGCGAATGCGCATTAAAATCACCCGAAATTAAAAAGTTACGGTTACCGAAATGAGTCACAGCTAACTCCAAGTTCTGGATGGTTTTATAGATATCTGAACTACTCGAGCAATAGACGTTGAAGATGATAATGCATAAATCAGGAAGGCAGACCTCGATACAAATGCAGGTAGATGAACAAAACTTTGGATGGGAGATAATGGCCAAGGTAGGGTTAGTAACAATGACTGCAGCCCACGGCCGTTCATCCTGGCTCTGAATGATAATGTCTTTGTTGCTAAAGCAAGCTACCCTATTCTTGCAACAATAGGGCTCCTGCACTAAAGCGATATCATAGTTGTTAATCTCCTGTCGGAGTTGAGAGCTGGCAGAGATCGCTCGTTGCAGATTAATCTGTACAATGCGTAGTTGAGAGTTCCTAAGGCAAATGTCAGTGTTTCTGTTAGATGCCATAGTCTATTCTGGCAAGGAGCTGTGTTCTTGATCGAATAAAGGCAGGACAGACTTTATCGAGCGCATTATGATCTATTTATTACCTTATTGTTCTCTCTAATGCAGTTCATACATTTTGGAGTTTCTGTTTTGCCTCCACACTGACTGCATGTACGATTTTCTGCATCACAATTCTTAGCAAAATGCCCAAATTTTAGGCATTTGAAACATTGATTCGATGGGAGGAAGTCTACGACACTACACCTAGACCACTGCAAGTTTACCTTCTCCTCTTTTAAGAGGAAACACCTGAGGTCTGATGAGACCTCTGCAACCCAAGAAACAAG